CGCACAGGTAAACACGCTGTTTGTTTTTCCCCAGCGGTTCTCTATGTGCCGTCCTCACGCCATAACATAATGCGATCTTCGTTCCTGTCTCAGGCCTCTTCAAGCAAGCCACACCCGAGTTCACAAGAATCTCCATGTTTGTTTAATTATTATCTGGGATATTTTAGTAGATAACACCCAGTCCTCACTCAAACTGTCTTTACATGAGACCCTATAACAACAAGTGTTATCATTCGCTCAGATGCTCTGAAAAATTGCCAGGTAACAGCTTAAAGGCCTCAGGAGAGGCTGTGTCATTTTTATTTTGCATGGGGAATCTACAAAACTAACATGGTGTGCTCTGGGCTAAAAATTGTTCATGCATTTGTGTCATCGTGGCTAGATGGCTGAAATGCCATATTTACCAGCTTAGATTTGGGGAAAAAAAAAAAAAAACCTGTCAGTACTCCAAGCAATACAAAATGCTGCAGGCAAATTAAAGTATTTTAGACACGGCATCAAAATTGTTTAGATCTTGTTTCTGCTCTTTAATTATTTAAAAAAAAAATTCCTCCCAGAAGAGGGAGACTATTTCACTTCCACCATGTTGTTGTCACAGCAACAGCTTCCAACTACAAATACAATAATTGAATCATCTCAAGTCTTATTGAATTTCTGAGCACATGATGTAGACCGCACACGTCCTTGAAATCTGTCTAATTACACTCCAACCTCAGGTGGAGGGGGGAACTGTATATAAACGTGTCTGTAATTCCCAGCTGTAAACAGTGTTCTGTATTTTAAAGATGGATGGAGCTTTCAGGCTGGAAAGTGAAGCCAATGCAAAAAACTTTAAACATGCATTTTTCTCTAATGCCGAGCAGGGGGCAACTCCTACCTTGTACACTGCTTAGAAGTCAATGGGGAAGAAAAATGACCCCAATGTCTATGTTTTGTCTATAAAGCAGAGTATGCCTACCGTATGATTTCTCATTTTTACCCACTCATAAGATCAAGTTTAAAAAAAAACACTTTAATACAGATTTTCACTTACTTGGCCATAACATGGTGACTAAAGCACTCATGATGTTGCTGTTTGAGATGTCAAAGCCTTTTGACTTGCTATTGATATTTGTGATGGATAATAACAGTTTGTTTTTGTTTTTTTTCTTCAGCTGTGCATCGGTATTTCCAGAGTCTCCTCGCTGGCTGCTGGCCACAGTTCAGATTTCTCAAGCGAAGAGGAGCCTTCAGGATTTCTCTAAAAGAAATTGTGTTTTTCTACAAGACGACCTCTACCCTGGCGAAACCCTGCTGTCAGGTACACACACACACACACCTCTAGGATTTCTCTGTAGGCGTGTACAGTTTTCTCCTGGTTGTTGGAGCACAGGCGCCAAACCTTAAACGTGATGCATTAAGAGAAGAAAAATCTGGACCTCACCAATTTCTAAACGCTGGTATTTCCTTGGTAGAAGCAACACGTATTTCCAAATCAAACTCAGTGGGGTTTAACTTTGTTGGGACATCAGTTTAAATGATTTCCCTGTTTGTGGTTACAGAGATTGATTCAGTGTACGGCGAGGACAGTCAGCCACGATACCACTCTGCTCTGGAGCTGCGTCGGACTCGCGTCATCTGGAAGAACTGCCTCATACTCGGCTTCACCTTGTGAGTTTCCTCTCTTCATGAAATCAGCGGTCCCGAGTCAGGGGCGCTACAATGAAGTCCATAAATATTTGGACAGTTTTGGTTCTGTGCATCACCAGAATTCATTTTAAATGAAACAACTCAGATGGAGTTGAAGTGCAGACGTTCAGCTTTAATTCAGTGGGTTGAACAAAAACGAACAAGAACTGCAGGCGAGTGTTTGATAACTGATCCTGAGTTTTTCTTAACACTGAGAAGTGAGAAAAAACCTTTTTGTGGTGTTTTTGTTCAGCAGTGGGTTTTTTCCTTGGATCGCTCCCATGGTGCCATGTTTTGCCCAGTCTTTCTTATTGTTGAATCATGAACTCTGAACTTCAAATGAGGACTCGAGTTCCTGTTTAAGTGATATCGAGATCCAACTGGCAGTAATCAGACCTGAGTGTGGCTGGTGAAATTGAACTAAGCTTTCTAAACCAAAACAAAGTATGAGCTAGTTCATGATTTAGCAAGGAGGGCATCTACTCTCCACACAGGAAAGGTATGTACAACATGCTTTCAATATCTGCTGCGCTTAAACCACAAAACTGATTACCAAGTGCCACGACAGGTCCAGAGCTAGAAGAACTGAGATATTCCCTAACGGGTAATTTTTAGGATTTGAGGTACCCGCTTTCAACCTGATTATTTTATTTTTTCCTTTGCCATCCAGATTCATTGGAACAGGCATCCAGTACTGCTTCACCAAAAACCTGCACACTTTCTCCAATAAGTTCTACTTCAGCTACTTCCTCCGGGTGGTAACTGGAGCGCTCGCCTGCATCTTCCTGTGTTTGTCCATCAATCACTTTGGCCGACGTGGCATGCTTCTCCTCTCTGCCATCATCACTGGACTGTCTTCACTCCTGCTGCTGGCCCTTACACCATGTATGTAACATCCACACAGGCCCATAAGATCTACTGTAAATTCCCTTCAGAGTTTCCTTGAAAAAGTTTTGGATCACATCCCAGAAAGTTTTTCACTCTCTGGTTTTATTAATGACTCTTTTATTGACGTTTGTGTTTGACAGACCTGCAGGGTGGCCTGGTGCTGGTGCTCTCCGTTGTGGGTTTGTTGTTCTCTCAGGCTCTCGCCATGCTCAGTGCATTCTTCACCTGTGAGGTGATGCCAACTGTAGTTCGGTAAATGTCTCTTTGTTCTTGATTAAACTGAAAATGGGACGTATTGATCCCATTTGCTGCAAAGTCAAAAGGAAGTTTTAAAGTACAAAGAAAAAAAATGGGTTGAAACGAAGTACCGTGCGATCTTTTCACCTTGGTGATTTATTCTCCTTTTCCTGTGCTTCCTCTCTCTCGTCCAGAGGTGGCTGCCTTGGCCTGGTGCTGGCATTGGGTTGTGTTGGCAGGGCCGCCTCCTCCCTGATGGAGCTCCAGAACAATGGTGGCTATTTCCTCCATCATGTTGTCTTCGCTTCCTTCGCTGTCCTCTCCGTCCTCTGCATAATGCTCCTACCTGAAAGCAAACGGAAACCGCTCCCAGATTCCATGAAGGACGGCGAGAACCAGAGGCGACCACCCCTCTTCCTGTCGCAGCCCACCAGAGACAGCCTCCCTCTACTGCACGCGCGTGCCCCTTTGTCGGAGTACAACCCGGATAACTACTCCCTCCTGGTGTCTGCCACCAGGAAGATGTTGACTAAAGATTCTTTGCCTTACAGGATCGGTGTTCCTGCTCATCCCCCTCTGCTGTCAAACAATGAAACACAGGAACCAGAAACTCTGAGAGATGTGTCTTAAATTTAACCCTTCTCCTCCTCTTTACACTCTAGCTTGAGGGGAGGAGCCGAAATGTTACCTCTGACAGGCTATGATAAGCCTTCAGTGCAAGGGTCAGTGACTAGCTCTTCATAACTCATCTGGAGAGCTGGATGCACTTTAGAGCAATGGCTCCAACTTTGTCAGTTTTCATCAATATTTCCATCTGGTCGCTTTACATTTTGTTACTATGCAGTGGCGTCTTCACGCATGGATCCGGTCCACCGCTGTGGGACGATGGCCTCCTTTTGCTGTGTTTTGTCAGCCTTTTCTGAGATGTAGGAATATGTTGGTACATTCCCAGTGCAGCTGGGGTCACACTGCTCATGTCTGTGGTAGGCATTCAAAGCAAACTGGCACACTCCAGTGTTACCAGAGGAGCTCTGTCATGTAAAGCTCTTTGATTGCGTTTCTCAGTAACACAGTTCTTCATTAAGTCGGTCTGCCTGACTCACCAGCAGATAGCAGCGCTGAGTGGGCTACAGAGCACGCAAGACTATACTCGTGAAGCACAGCAGGGGGCGCTGATGATGCACTAAAAATGATCAATTATAGTTTTTTTTGTTTTGTTTTAAGGCTTTTTGTTTCCTGTGCAACTAACAAGATTCATTTGTCCTTTTTCTGATGTTAGGATGTGATCAGTGTGGATAAACACAACCATTTCTTTACCATTACGTTTTTCTGTCTTCATGCTCCTTCTATAAATCACATTTATTACCAACTATTGCATTAAAAACTGTCTTGTTGTTTTCTACTTAAAAACTGGAAATGGCTAAATTTCAAGATGCACTAACCACAGCAGCTGCTGAGCGAAAAGTGCGTCTGTGTCTGGAATGCTTCAGCTAAAACGCAACAACGTTGTGGAACCAGTAGACATATATATTTACATTCTTCTTTTTAAAAAAAATGGTTTGTTTAATGTTCTTTTATGTTTACTAGTGCGGCTGTTTTACGTGTTTAAAGCCTTTAGTTCTAACTGTGAGATGAGATCATGTCTTCAGCCGTCAGTGTCGTTGTGTGATAGTTTACGGTTTGTGAATACATAACTTTACCTTCAGTGAGCAAACAAAGGTGCTTGTGTTGGAACTACAGTTGGTGATGTAAGCTTTTAAAACCTAATGTTTTATTGTTTCTTTGTAAAGTAAAATGTGCAAAAGCTGATTGTTAACTTTTTAAGGAAAATAATCTAAATCTTTTTTTACTTCTCTGTAAAGCAAACTCAAATCGACAAAACTTGTTTTAAAAATGTTCAGTGATGGTGTTTCTCTCTCTGAACACTAGATGGCCCTGTTCACTTTACAAAACAAAGAAATGTACTGCTTGGAGTGAAAATGTTCAGGTGTGTTACTCAGATTATAGTTGTGTGACTTCATTATTCAACTAGGAAAAAAAACCCTGTTTACAGTCCTGCCCATAAAAAGGCACCTTTACTACTGTTTTTGTTTTAAATGAGATAAAATGGATGAATTGAAACTGACTCAGGTTTAAATAAACTTTAATGACATAATTTGTTTGTCCATCTTTTATACCATTTTTAGTTAATATAATTGAGTCTTAAAGCTTTAAAAACTGCATGAGGGGAGAAAGTTGTGCAGTAGTTTCTCTCAGCGGTATAGCATTACAGTTCAGGATTTAACTCAGGACTTACATACTGTAGGTTCTACAGCTACCCATTAAACAGTTGATGTAATCCAAGCCTGGAGAACCAGTGTAATCAGAAGCGCCAGTGTACTGAGCGAATGGGCTGATCCGTTGGAGCCGGTAGTGCTGGGGTATCCGAAGCTTGTTCTGCACGGGTTCTGCACATCTTCGTTTGGAATGGGAACATCATCCGGGATCTCGTTGCTCATGCTGTCGCGGATCTGACACACAAAGATGACATCGTCAGGCAGGAGACAAAAACACTAATGGGGTGTATTCACTGTGAGCCCATCTGCTATTCAAAGGCATTGTTTAAAACCTGATGTAGCCACGGAGTAGCTGTCAACACCAACATTACTTATACACACACATTTTTAAAAAAGCTCAGTGGTCTTTAGATGATCATTGATAGTTTAGAGATTGTATTCAGGCATATGTCCCAGTGATCCACATGAGGGTTCATCTGTTTATCTATAGTGCTGTTAAATTTAAGTCTACTTGATCAAAGAAAAACAATAATAATGCAGAGAAACTGGTAGAAGGTGTGGTTTCTGGGAATGAGGAACAATGACTCACAATAGTTAAATGTTATAAACACCCCCCCCCCCAAACCATTATGCAGATGCTTATCTGGTGCTGTAAAGTCAGCTGAGATGCAGATATAATTCGACAAGTCATTACCTAACCGTAAACATCTAAGTTTTCGGTTAGGTAATGACTTTGTGAATTGCTACTTGTCGCAAAGGACATTTGTCACAAGACAACCTGCAGAAACCAGCTAGTGCAAAACATTTTGTGATGGATGTGATTGGAGGAATTATTATTAAACACCTTGCATTCAGAACCATTTTAGAGGAAACCAACATGATGACTCGGATCCCCACAGCAGCTCTTTGAGTGGCCTCACACATGCAAAGAACTCACTCACTCCTGATCAACTTCCCTTGAATGTGCACAGTAATGCACCGTTTTAAGTTGTTACAGATAAACATCCAGTCTAGCTTTTGTTGCAGGCATTAACTTGGAGGAGTGTTGCTCTTGAGTTGATGATATATCCCACGATATTGATGGTCAGAGTTTGATATCATGGATTTTGGTTTTTAAGACATTTGCAGCTGGTATAAAATTGATTTAGTTGAAATGATTTTTTTTCTTCAGCCTTGACGATGTCATGCAGCTGGTCTCTGTGGTGCTCAAAAATAGTGGAAAAATCTGTGACTTAAAAGGACCCAAATTTCAGCCCAACCTTGTGCACTTTTGGTCCTGTAACAAAGAAAATGTCCATTTTATGATTTCACAGTTGGTGGAGAATAAAAACCTGACTTTGAGGGGTTAGGTGGGAAACACTCATTTGGTGGTTTTTAATGGAATAACAGATCTACTAGAGTCACTTCATCAACCAGCTCAGAATTACAATCCGGAAACAACTGCTATATCAGATTTTATTGCTTTAAGGTGTGCTGAGTATCTAATTCTTTCTTATCGTTGCAGATCCTCAGATAAGGAGGCTGATATCTCTGTCACGCTGGTTTAAATGGATGGAGTGAGGAAACGTCTTAACAGGTACTTTTGGTTGCTCTCTCTAATTTCCCAAGGGGAAACAGATCTGCATGTTTGATTTGGCCAGGTGCCCTTCCTTCTCACATTTATCCAGGCTTGGGATCAGCACTGGGAGTACGCTAGCTTTGTCCTCTACTTTCAAACTGAAGATCTTTTGCATCTAAGGTAAATATGTTTACCACTGAACAAGCCAATCAATCAAACGTGTGCAACCAACTTGACCAAGCTTCTTCACACAGCTCTCCAAATGATACATGAACCCATGAAGTGCATCGAGGTTTAGGTTACTTGTGTGTGTGTTTGTGTGCGTGCATTTATTCCTTACCTTCTCAACCTCGCTCATGACACGGAGCAGGTTATTTCCAAGAGCAGCTTTGACTTCCTCATCAGTCCATCCTCTCCTGAGCAGTTCAGCCACCAAATTGGGGACCTTGGACACATCCTCCAAACCCTCAGGTACTCTAAAAGGACAAATTTACAACCAGCGAGTTACATGTGATGTAAAATTGAGTGGATTTTTTTTATACAGCACTTCCAAAAAGCAGTACTATATTTAAAACAAACAAACACAATTTTTTTTTATCAAGAAAAATTACAAGAAAATCCAGCTCATTGGAAGCAAAATGTAAAGGAAAGTGTTGGTGGTTCTTTTTTCTTCATCAAGACAATTTTGAATATGACACGAGTCTAACTACCCAACGGGCAAAGTTACAGTACTGTGGAAAAATCCTGAACCACTCCTCATTTCATCATATTTTCCTTCCAACGACTCACACTTTCTTGCAATATTTTAAAGTGGTCTTGACCAGTAGTTCTCCAGGCTTTGTGAATGTTTTTCAAAGTGTTTCTTTGGACACTGGCTGCTTTTTCCATGCATCTTCAGTCCAGTCCTTGTACCTAACCATTTTCAGATGAATATTCTTTGCTTTTTTTAAAAAGCCATGTATAACACAGACCTTTCAATCATTCAAGAATAAAAGGCACGTAAAAGGATGAACCAGTATAGACACTTAAAAACAAGACTTTGTTAGTAGCACAAAAACACATCATTTGTTCCAATTTCTTTAGACGAATCTCTGAAAAATACCCAAGATAATAGTTTGACAGGAGAAGAAAGTGTTTTTGCACCAACAAGGTGATTCCCAAAGAGCTATTAGCAAAAAAAACCTTTGGTGCATCTCTCCACGGTGTGCCAATGTCTTCACATTTCGGCGAGTTTATGTGGGAACACACCTGGGAACGCCATCATAATCTCCACCAAAGCCGATGATGTCTGCCCCGGCCACTTTCTTTATATGGTCGAAATGATCTATAATGAAAGCAACAAACTTGAGAATGAAGTGAATGGACAGAAGATAGCTTTGAGAATGAAAAGATAAATGTTAATGTTTGACTGGTTTACAGCAGATGTCATGGTCACAGCAGTAATTTACCTGCGACATCAGACAATTTAGCCGTATTGCTGCAGGTCACATAGTCATTGTAGAAGTTGACCATCACAATTCCTTTAGTTTCATTCTGGAGAGACAGACTAGTGTTAAATGGCTCTGATCTACTGCAGAGAATGACAGAAAGTCAAGAAAAGCATCAACCGGGCCACAAAATGCACGTCCCAATGATCCGCATGAGTGCACTGACCTCTGCTACGTTTCCTGGTTATAACTTTACGTGTATCATTTTACAGTGCTGTACAATAACTTTCTTGCTTTTATCTTATTTTATTGACTTTAGGAGGGAAGTTGTCATTACGCATCATTTAACTTGATCCATTTACAGCCATTTGCAGCTCATCTGTTGCATAAAGAGCTTTTATGGATGCGTTATCTAAGACCCCAAGCAGCAGTTCAATATCAGCTGGCTGCGTGTTTTACTGTGATCAGGTGATCTGTTGATGCATTTTGCTCCCCCACATCCAGATCACTTACAACATCTGTGGTGCACTTGGGCCCAGTTTTGTGTTATTTCTAAGAGCTGGAAAGAGCTAAATACTATTCCTATTCCACTCCATTAATTTGATGTGAGAGTTTCAGGCAAAAGGTTGTGGATGCTAACTTGTTAAAGTACAATATATTGTTATAATTTAAACCCTCTATTTGCATTGTGACTCCTTGCTTTTACTCCCACTTTTCAGATGGTTTCAACTATTTGAGGAGCAAACACCAAAGACGATGCAATAAGAGAGAGAATCAAACAATAACCATGTGAACTATTCATATACTGCTGATCTTCACGAGGTCCTCAGCCTTTAGGTTGACCTGCTGTTTCTTTCAGTTGTGTCTCGTGAACTCACCACTCGTCTCAGGACGTCATCTGGGACGTTCCTCTTATGTGGACAGACAGCGTATGCGGAGGAGTGGCTGAAGATGACCGGAGCTTTAGACAGGGTCAGCACCTGGTTCATCACCTCCTCAGAAACATGAGCCAGGTCGATCAGCATCCCCAGGCGGTTCATTTCCGCAATTACTTGCTGTAATGTGAATGCACTTTGGTTACCACTGTGGTTGTTATAGTTTTGTATTTTCTGATTACTCCTTATTTATATATTAGTTTCAGTTAGTTTCAGTGAGGGTTGGGAGGATGTGCCCAGTGTTTCAGCTTTGATCTTTTTAAGTATTATTTTATGTAGCACACATGCTAAGAGGTAAGATTTAAGAAAATCTGTAAAGCTTTTCTCAGGCTTTTTTTTTTTTCAATTCAACAACACATTAATTTGTTTATGTAATCATGCGTCAGCAAATTTTTTTTATTAGTCTGCCATTATCTAACTCCATCACAAACAGCTCCAACACTCCCTCCACCTCACCTCACTAAGCTCATGTGTGGGTTATCAACAGCAGAGTTTTTTTTACACCAATTCCACCAATATAACCTCTGGCAATAAATGTTATTTTCTTTGAAGTGCCTCAGAAGAAACTTTGGGCTAATGTCGTTAAGCTATAAAACATAATAACGGAATACTTTTTTATTGATGCTCTGTCAGTGTTTTCTGATGCTTCTTTTCCTAGTTAATGAGGTCATGGTTTTTACAAATGGCTGTCAGCAGTCTGAGTTGTAGCTCTCTCCTGATCACTTGCATATAAAACAACAATTTTAACTTCAAATCTCTCCTTCAGGCCTGCTGTCACTTATTTTCAGTCCAGTTCTTGTGTAAAAGGCCTCTTAAATAGTTAACATAAAGAGATTCTTAAACATTTGAAAAGTAGTGATTTACCATATACACAAGAAGGTCAGCTTTAACCTCCTAAGACCTGAACTCTTTCACGACATGCATTTTTAATTTCTCTTTGATATTTGGGCATATTGGGGCCTGATGAATGAAAAAACAAAGAATTACCAGATTTTTTTTAACCTTATTTTTGTTTTTAAGAAAAATAAGAGCCACATATGAGGATATTTGTTTAAAAGTTTGATAGAACAGTAGCAGTATAATGTCCTCGTAAGTGGATATCAGGCCCATGTAGAGCAAAATTGAGTATTTTAGTCTAAATAACCCAAAATGTGATGTCTACATATGGACACAGGGTCCTAGGAGGTTAAATGAAAAAAGAGGAATAGGAATAAAGCTACACAAAAGATGTTAATGTGTAACATAGTACTCCCAGAAATAATGATTTCCCACGTTTGCATCACTCACTTTGCCAAAAGAAGAGAGGCCGTTATGCTCCGATGGCTCTGATCCAGTGTCCACGAGCCAGTTATCTACCCTGTGAATGAAAAAGCAAGTGTTAGTAAACATGCAAAACTTAAGACAACGAACAATCTGGAACTCATTTAAAGTAAACTGAAGTGTTCATTATCATTTTATGAAACATTGAGAAAGATGGTAAATGGCCTGTATTTGTATAGCTTTACTAGTCCCTAAGGACCCCAAAGCGCTTTACACATCCAGTCATCCACCCATTCACACACACATTCACACACTGGTGATGGCAGCTACATTGTGGCCACAGCCACCCTGTGGCGCACTGACAGAGGCGAAGATGTACAGAGATATTTTAAGGTCTTTCTCCATGATTTCAGACATAGCAGATTATATAAAGTTCACTGTTTTCCCAATTCTAAAAACAAAAACAAAAATAAAAGAATTGGTAAAAGAATTTAGTAATATAGTTTAACATCCTCCTGGAGGCCGATGTTCACATGGTGAGGTGCAGACCTCCCTTTCTTTCATGCATGTCTGCACAAAACCTTTACAAAAACAAACAAACTTTATTTGTCACATACACAATCATACAGAGGACCCTTACTGGATCCTGAGCTGCACTGAGTAGGAGATGCTCTGCAAACAGACAAACAGGACAAACAGATTCAGGGATAGCTTCTTTCCCAGAGCGATCACCGTAGTAAATAAGCACAAAAACAATTGAACCTATTCCATACCGTCACTGTCATTATATTATGCTGCTATTCATACTGTCATTATATTAATGCTGCTATCCTGTATATATTGTACATACTATTGTTTGAGTACTTACGATTGTTTTTGTGTACTTTTTATATTTTACATTTATATTTATTATTGAAACTTGCACCAAGGGAGTGGCACTCCAATTTTGTTGTACTCTGTACAATGACAATAAAGGCTATTCTAAATTCTCTGTACACATGTATCGTGACACAAAAGGCATTCTATTCTCTTTCTGTTTCCTAAATTTAACCAGCTGCTGGTTGCACCTGGTTGGGTCACTGTTGAGGTAAAGCATATCAGTATAGATTCACCTGCCAGTGAATGTGATACTGCTGCCTGAGTGGGCCTGCAGGAATCCCCCGTGCTCTCCACAGCTCCAATGCAACATCTGAACCTTACTGTCGGCTCAGTTAATGAATGGAAACAGTGCAAACACGATCCAGAGGAAGTTATTCTTCACATAAGACGTCTCTTGATTCTTTTTCACATGAATTTATTATTGAAACTGTCACACAGTGACACAGCCCCTAACTCTGCATTTTCTGTTTAATGTTGTGTAGTTGTAATTTGGATAAACATTCATCTGAATGGGGAAGTGAAGGCATGTGACTGAGCATATTTAACTCAGCTGAAAATACAGAACTAGAACTAATAGCTACTATATTTTCTGCCTGGAAAACACGTCATATAAATATAGAGGCTCAGTTTTCCAGACTAGTTCTCAAAAACACTTTTCAGTGAAGATGTTGATTGAATTTGTCATTGCGATTGATTTTTGTCTGTGACCAGGCTCGATCCATTCCTTGCAAATCACTACGGCTATTTTCAATTTCTTAGCAAAATATAACGAAACAATGTGTTTATCAAGACTTTTGCGCAGCATTATAGTCAATCAATAGAAACATGAAAATAACCTACTCATTGTTTGTATTCTTCTGAAAATTCAAACACATTTCTTTATATAAGTAACAGCAAATTAATTGATCTTTGAGGTCTGACCGATGCCTTAAAATGTGGTGGTGGCTCTTACCAAGGTGTGTTGCAGGAGTGGGTGAGTGTGAGGTAGCGCACCCCCAGCTGGTACATGGTGCGCAGGGTCCCCAGACTGCTGTCGAGTGAGTGACCACCCTCAACCCCAATCAGACTGGCGGTCTTATTCATATTAAAGGCCTTCAAGATGTCTGTGCAGACATGACAGTTGATGTGTGATACAACCAGGAGAAGGACAGCTATGAACTGTCGGAGTCAGTGTCTCACCTTGGCTACTGGAGGCAAACATGAAGATTTCAGGGTATTTCTGACACATCCTGTGAATCACGTCTATCTGCTCCAGCGTTTGTCTGACAGCATCTTTGTACTGAGTGTCACAGGGGACGTATGCTGCCCAGAACTGAGGATCAGAGCAAAGATTATACTATGTATAATTAACTTTCAAAGTTAAACAAAGATGAATAAAATACAATCATACTCTCAAACACATATGCACAATGCTGTAAAAAAGGTATTTGCCCCCCTCATGATTCTCTGATTCAGCAGGGTGTGGCTAATTCATATTTTAATTTGTGGGTGTGGGTGGAGGCGGCTGCGTGTTTCTTTTTCATGGCATTGATTGTGAGTGGTTGCTGGAAGCTAATGACTGTCACTGGGAAAGTGATTGATTGCTAAAGCCCAAGTCACGCAAGCCTACAGATCAGTAACCACCTGTTGCTAGGGAAAAGTGTGCACATCCTAACCAGTTGGTTAAAATTTCCTGGTGATTGGTTTGGTCGCTATGATATTGCTGCAGTCCTCTGTAGTTTGCATGGAAGTGACAGACTTGTGTACGCTCTGAGTCAGCAACATCCCGAGACCACAACCACCCAGTCAGTGAATACATGTCTTCCTAGCAATGACTGTTTGTATCACGCCCCATGTAGCCAACACCTCTTGCGCAATGCACATGACAACTATGACAAAAAAATAAATAAAACAAAAAACAAATCCCCCCCAAAAAATTATTTTTTATTGTTTTGGGGGATTTTAATTTTTTGAGTGTTTCAAATGCTCGGCTTCTGTTGGCTTTTCTGAATCCCTGTCTTGATTTCATTTTCGTTCTAGTGATAGTTGCCTGAAAGGAGTATTATTGAATCTTTCATTTAGATTCTTATTTTCTGGGCTTTCTTGGAATGAGTGCCAGCTCTTTCACTCTGTATCAATATAAGTGCCCTTTGTTTTCCCCGTTTCCTTCCTCTCCACATGGTGTAACACCTTCCTTCTGTTTTTTGTTTCCCTCCTTAATCACTTAAGTAATAACTAGTTTTTAGCTTCATATTTCGTGTCTATTTGTTTCAGTTATGGTAGTTTCAACATCTTCTGTTCCTTTTGCAAAAAACGGTTCCCATTAGTGATTTATTTTTATTATATTATTTTATTGTTTTGTTTTATTTCTCCCTGTGAGTATCTTAATTATGTTCAGCTGTTTTTGTTACCCTTCTCTGTCCAAACCCAAATAAAGCCGTCAATGTGAACATGTACAGCCCCAGTTTTCCTCCTGGTGTCCTGTGTGTGTTTTGTGTGTAGACTTTTTAGAGATTAGAAATTAACTATCAATATTTGCCTTTTAGTTTTGGACTCAGTCTCCTGTGCACTCCTTGTACAACTCTGTACAACTGCAATTAAAAACAAAATGTATTGACAGATATAGATTTTTTGAGATGCTTTTAATCTCTTGAAGAAATGGCTGACTTCTCTGCTAATAATATATTTAAAATGAGAGTGTAACATGACTTTTTAAAATGATCAGTCTGATTCAGTTATGTTATTTTGTGAGATGTCTCCAGTGAGGAAGGTTTGTAGATAAGCTGTGGGAGCCCATGAATAAGGAGCACATTGACACTGAAATTGTGTTTTTCTTTAATAACTCTTCCATCGTGTGTACCTGAGCACCCAGTCGTCCATCCTTGATCTTAGGGATGTTGGTGTGAGTGTTTGCCAGTGTGTTAAGATCCACTTTGTTCAGCTGATTGTTGAATTGTGACCGAAGCTGCCAAGGCAAGTCATTATGACTGGAACAAAGCACAGGAGAAAGATCACATCAGGAAAGAAGTGAACTTGTTTTATTGGGTCAGCATTAGACTTCAATCGCAGATATTTACACACTAATCACAAATAAATAAATAAACAAATAAAATTTCACTTACCCATCAATGAGTGGCGTCTCTGACATTAACTGCAAGGCTCTGGCCATGTAATCGTTGGGATCCACAGCCAAGGTGATGGCGCAGGAAGTGATCCAGAGCACCAAGCATGAAGCCAAATTTACCCTGTGCAGCATTTCCTAAAGTTTAAACGCACTAAATAGATTCCTGTCTTACTCTTTGTTTGTCTGGTTTTATCCTGATAACTAAATCAAAAATTGCAGTGGCTGAGCCTCTCTTTGACCTTAATCTTAGTCCTTGAGCAGATTTCTTACTTAAATGTCCTTCAGTCCTTTGTCTGTTGGGATCTTTACAGATTTTCGCTCCAGATTCTTTCTGTTTTCAGTTGTTTATATGGTGCCAAATCACTACAAAGGCTGCCTCGAAGTACCTTTTATTGCAGGACTACTCTTTGCTCCTCCTATGTGCTGAGTAAGTTTACAGCGCCAGCTATAATAAATGCAGCTCAGTAGCTTATTAATCTCTGGCTCTCTTCCGCAGTGTGTCTTTGTCCTGTCTTCCTCCCCTGACCCTCAACAAATGGCCACCCCTTCCTGAGCCTATAACTGGTGAAGGATTCGTTTGGGTAAAAAAGGAGTTTCTTCCCACTGTTGTTGTTTGGTCATAAGGGAGTCACACGACTGTTGAAGCTTGACAGCAGAAAAAAAAACTGGTTTCAATTGGTGTTTTACTTTTCCCTTTGAGTGTCTTAATTGTGTGGATGCCTTAATAGGCATCCACACTATTGAGTTCCTGTTTCTCTTTAATCTTTATACTTTATTCTAGTTGCTTCCGTACACTTTTTGGCACTCAACTATTCCCACAGTTTTTGTGCTATTTTCACCGTTCAAATCTTAAAAAATTCTGCTCTTTCTGCTCTTTCCGACTATGACTTTTGGTGCTCATAACTTCTATACTTTTTGAGATATTGATTTTTCTTTTCAATATTTTTTACCCTTTTTTGCATATTATCAGTGGCCTCACTGATTTTCCTTGCCGGGTTGAGCTGTGTTTTAGCTCAGTGAGATGAGCATCCGTTCTCGGACTGGGAGGCCCGGGTTCAAATCCCGCTTATGGCAACATTTCTTTCAGTTAACACTTAAACTTTTTTAACTCTTTTCAACACAAATTTAAGCTTTTTCACCCCTTTTCAGCACATTTTTCAGTTTTTTCACCAGTTTTCAGCACAAATACCAGCTTTTTCAGCTGCTTTCAGCAAAAACCTCTTTTCAGCAGGATTCTGCTGATTAAACTCTTTTCAGCAGAAATTCTGCTGATTCAACTCTTTTCAGCAGAAATTCTTCTGATTCACCTCTTATCAGCACAATTCTCAGCCTCTTCTGCTCATTTCAGCACAATTGTCAGTCTCTCCACTACTATTCTTTGTCAGAAAGACGTTGGCGAAGTGAGATGAGAACCTGCCTTGAGTACCAGAAGGGCCAGGTTTGAATCCTGCTCAGAGCAACATTTTTTGCTTTTTTTTTTTGCTTTTTCAACTTTTTCAGCTTTTTTCAGCAGATATCTTCAGCCCTTAAGGCATCCACACAGCATTTTCGCAGGAAATGCAAATTTTTCTAGTCTTCAGCTGTTTTTGTTATTCGTCTCCGTCCAAACCCAAATAACACCTCTGTGTAACATATACGGCCCCAGTCTAACTCCTTGTGTCCTTTGTGTATGTGTGTTTAGACTTTTCAGAAATTAACTATAAAGATTGTCTTTTGGTACTGAACACTGGGTCGGTGTCAGCTATAATGAATGCTCTTCAATGAGTCTATAATAAGCCCCTTGAACTGGAGAGGACCCGGCTTTATTTAACAAAATTCAATTAGTTAAACTAAAAGCTTATTTTAAAGACAAAAATGACTAAATTTAGACAAAACTGAGGTTACTACATTTGGCTTAAATTTTCTTTGAAACATTGTATCTAACCAAATGCTTACTCTAGATACCATTATCTCCTTTAACACTGTGAGAAATCTGGGATTCCAGTAGTGTTACACAAATATGTAGGACTGCTTTCTTGCATTTGAGCAATACAGATAGATTCTTGATGATCCAAAATGGTGCAGCAAGTATACTGACAGGGGCTAGAAAGAGAGAGCATATCATATAATTGGTGGGGTTTTCTCTGTATTATTGTCTGGTCTTTATCTTAAAGCGCATTGAGGCAACTACTATTGTGATTCCCCGCTATAAAAGTAAATCTGAATTGAAAATTCTCCATCGTTATTGTGCACATTTTGAGCAACAAAACCTTTTGACAGCAGTCTTTTTTGCATCAGCATGCGGAATAAATAAAAGGATAAAAGGTTACACGAACTACTAAATTGGCTTGATTGAATTTGAAAGTTCAGTTATAAATAAATAAATAAATAATAAAACAAACAAATTAAGAGCTTCCTTGTGAGCTTCTCTTCATTGGCTGACCGCTGAATCCAGAACGGAATTTAAAATCCATCTCTCCACATTATTATACCTTGAAGACATAATAGTACTTTACTCTCAGACTGCCTGCTTGTGTGCAGAGTTTCTAAAAGCAGATTGGGAGGGAGAGCCTTCAGCTATTCGGTCCCTCTAGTATGGTATGAAACGCCAGGACTGCCATAATGAATTAATTAAATACACCATTAAATAATTAATTAAAATGGGAAATAATTAAAAATGTTTTTGACACATTTAATTAATTAATTATTGCCACATTTAAATAATTATTTAATGGTGTATTTAATCAATTCATTTTGGCACAGTTGACACCTTCAGGTCTCACCATGAAATAATTTTATCTGTCAAACTCACCCATCAAACTCAGGGGGCGGGGTTACCGCTGATCTAGTCAAAACCATTGCTTTGGCCTGATGGCCATTGTTTTTAGCACACAACAACCGGCATGTGGAAACTAACAGAACTGAACTTCGAAAAACCCTGTTTGTGTGTCACCAAATACCATTTTAATATTTTTTAGAATGTATTGGTTTAATCTTCATGTGTCTGGTCGGTTTGTCAAGATACAGCCTCTTTGCAAAAGTGCTTCGATGATTTCGGAGATGTCTGCCCAGTCTCACGGCGAAGCGTGGGATAGACCCGCTCGCCTCGCAAGCAATCGAGCTGTTATTACCACCGACAAAGCGCAGGCCCGGGACACAGCTGTAATAACCCCCGCTGACACTGACTTCTTTTACTGACGTTATATTTATCGGCTTTTTATTTCCTGATGTTCTTATGTGTCCTACGTGTTTCAGTCGCCAAATAAATTCGATTAACAGCTGATCTTTGGGTTTTTGTTCAGTAATCAGCGTGACCTGCGTATAAACGCAGAAAAGAGATAACGTTGGTGTTTCCGTCATGTAGTAACTGCTGGCTTTAACTGTACAAAGGTTGTTCGACACTATGAAACACATACAGACTTCATGATGTTCGGCTAATATTTTAATTGTGAATATTAATCATGAGGGTAAACGGACCTGTACACCACGGAGCGAGGTCAGCATGTCCACGATATCTTCAGCTCTCTGAGTCAACACAGAGTTTCCCGGCTGAGTAATTTAACTGTCATCTACGTATAATTCACGGGTCATATCAAAATGATTTTACAGAAAATCATCCTTATTACTGCCAACTATTCCAGAGACGTGAAAATCTACAGCATAAAGAACAAAAGAAATATAGCAGTCTAACGCAACACTGTAACAGAGATGAACGCATCAGTTTGTCGCAGATCAAAGTGGAATGAAAGTGATTGGTTGAACAGGTGTTCGTGATCTGTGTCATCTGCGTTTTCATCAGCGTAAGAGACTCAGCAGCAGATTAGAATAACAGTTATACATGTAATAAATCACCAAATGAATCCGCGCAAGAAACGAGCAAATCTGTTCTGACAGTTTGAGTTTGTGTTCCCTCAGCTGCAGACTCGCTGCTGTTTAAATGTTTGAGAGGAAGATTAGATAGAAAACAACGTCAAACAGACTCAGTCTGTGTTCACATTTGATATGAGCTCAGGGTGTATAGTGGCTGTGTCCTGTTTTAAGATCATACATGTAAAATTGTTGTCTGACCTGCATCGATCCAGTCGCTCAGAGTCCGTGGTTACCATGGTTACTGCATAATCAGCTGTAATCTAAACAGCTGGCACAGCAGAAACCTACCGGCGACATGAGTGTTTATGGTTGTCATTGCAAAAGAACTGTCTGAAGGTTAACTGACGTTAACTTGGATAAATTATAGTTAAAGAGTATCACACTTAACACCCACGTGAGCTGTGTGACTGTTCACCACTGCACTGAAGTCAGTAGGCTATTACTTAAATACACGTGCTGTCATAAACTATGATACAAATAGGGAGGTCCTATTAACATGTTTAGTTTTAAAGGACACCTTCCTGCCTTGAGTGTCATTCATGAGCAGTATTAGTTTTCTTCAAACATCCAGAAGTCTGCACGATGTGTTTCATAGTTTGTAACAAGCCTTTGACAGTTAAACATAACATGACCGAAACACCAACAACCCCCCCCCAAAGAAAAATAAAAATAAAAATCACACAAATTATTTGTTAACCGCATTTATTTTTACTTAAGTAAACTCTAAAAATTCTAACAGATCGCTGGTGCTCAGAATACAGTTGAATAACTATTAAAAAACGGATGATATAATATTTCTGTCCAGGTTGCAGTCTCTATGATGAACACGCTGTTGCAAACTCTGCTCCTCTCGGTGGAAATGCGCCTTCTCTTTCCTCTTTGTATAAAACATTGTAAAGGTAAGTTTAGTCTCAAAATTCACTGTTAAATCCAAAACACACCAGATAAAGAAAAGCGAACGGTTCAGTCTAACACATGTGCCAGTGAACTATTAAACTTCAGTAAAACTATGCAGTTATGAAACGTAACTTTAACCTCAGCCAAACCGATTTGCTCAGTTGTAAATAAAACAGCGACAAACAAAACCTGAGTGAATTAAGGCCAGTGTTTAACCACTGAGAGCTGAAACTCAGGTGAGGTTTCAAAGATGTGTGCCGGTGATTGGACATCAGCTGCTGATAAAGTGGGTTCGCCTATAAAGTGCTCTCGGAAAAAAAACTATTTACTTATCTTGTGCAGAAAAATGCGCCGACATTGCGTTATATCGAGCACCGGCTGCCCAGTTAAACTGTGACTATCACCAGGTAACGTGGGCATGTTTCTTGAATTAGCAGCAGGTGTTAAACAGCTGACAGGTGAGGAGGAGGAGGATGCATGCAGGTAAACTGAGGCTGTGTCCCAATTCAGGGTCTGCACGCTTGAAGTACGCATTTTAAGTGCGGTTACGTCACCGCCACGCGACGACGGCTGTCGTGTACTTCAAATGCATACTCCAAATGCGCCGTCGATTTCCCCAAATATCAAGCGTGGTCCGGTGCACGCTTCGTGGTCCCATATATCCCACAATTCATAGCGCGGTGGTGGGTGTGGATAATTTTGCCGCAAAATACGGCAGAAGGG